GTGGGCCCAGGGCAGGGCGGCCACCGGGAAGCGGGCATCGTACAGGGTGCTGTGTCTATGGGGCATTTAAAGCCAAGGAAACCGACTTCGTCTGCTTGTTATCACTGCTCACAAGCCACTCAAACATCATCAGCGATGAGATGAACACTCCTCCCCCAAATGTGTGTGCGGGGAGGGCTGACTAAGCCCCAAGGGGCCCAAGTCCTAACCCCCTGCAGCTGCCAATGTTGTTCGTCGTGCCCAGCGGGACTTTGCGGATGGAACTGACGAGTCGGGAGGTGGCCCTGGATTACCCGCGTGGGCCCAGGTAACCTGGTGAGAGAGGAGGAGGGGTCAGAGTCAGGGAAGGAGATGGAACCGTGAGGGAGGGATGGGCAGGGGCGGCCTGGAGAAGCTCTGAGAGACAAGGGAGCAGGTTCCCCGCCGCAGCCTCAGGAGGACCCCGGCCTGCTGCCTCCCTGATTAGACTCCCGCCCTCCAGGCCTGTAATGGGCTGACCGCGTGCGGTTTTAAGCCACTCAGGTGGCGATCACTTATTGCAGCAGCCACAGGAGACAAGTGCAGGTGCAAGCTTAACGTTAGCTCCTTCGAACGCATTTCTCCTCTAGCATTTATTCTGCACAGACGTCAACGCGGAAGCTTCCCGCTGTAGAGCTGCCCCCCCCACACACACACACACGGGGAATCAGTTCTGCGCATCCTTCAGAGCAGACACTCCTGGCCGCCCAGGGGCATTCGCGCCGGCTTTGCGCGCGGCTCACCTTCGGGCCCAGCTGCACCTCAGCGATGGCGACAGCACAGTTACCATGAGGGCAAAGAAACAAACTCGCTCTTTTCGGTCTTACATCCTACGTGACCACTTGGACTTTTATGTTTGTAATTTAAAATGCAGTGAGTTACTTTCATTGGATAAGTGCAAATTTTATCTAATAAATAATGCATTTTAATTTGAACCATACCTTTAAAATGTATTTTTTCATTGTTAATTGCTGTAATACTAAGGAGTTAATTAAGAAAATAAAATGTTACATTAGTGGTATAACTTACTAGTTGCCTAAACTGCACCTTTTGCAGAGTTTTCGGTTTAATTAAAATTCACCTACTAATTAGTGGACACTTAGTTATAGCAAATATTACAGGAGACTCATCTGAGAGGAAAAGCTCGCTCTTGTGTGTCCCTTTTACTTGCACACCGCCTCACATGGAACCTCCCTTCACGTCGGGCACCACGTGTGCCGTGTAAACCGACCCGGCCATTCCCCGGCCACCAGCTGCCGTCCACAGCTCCGTTCCCCTCTGACACTGCCTGCCTAGAGTTAGCGTCGGACCCACAGGGGAAGGGGTCAGTTCCGCCAGGCTGCCCCCACCTCAGACACCAATCGCAAGTCTCAGGCTGTCGCCTGCCCTGACGGAGCAGCCGTGAGTCACGGTTCCCACACGCACTCCTTGGGTCTGATAGCCCCCTAGCCCGGCTCTCGGAGCTCAGGGAAGCGCGTGCTCACTGGTGTATCATCAAGGACTCCGATGGGCACATACAGAGGAACAGGGTCCCCGGGCACAGGAGCCGGGGAGCCCACCCTCTCAGCACGAGCGCGCGTTCCCCGGCCCAGCAGCCTTCGGGTTGCATGAAGGCTTCATCACGCAAGCGGCAGCGACCCTCAGCTCCGTCCCCAGCCCTTCTCCCCTGTGCAAAGTGGGGGATGGGCGGGGCACGCCAAGCCCGGTGGCCATAGGCTCCTGATCTTCCTGGATGGGTGAGCAGCCACCACCCCGGAGCCCGCCGAGTCACCCAGGACACGCCTGGGGAGGCTGGAGCCCTGTGGCGGGGACGGAAGTCGAGCACAGAGCGTGAGGACTGCAGATGCTCCGGCTGATCACTTAGGACAGGACAAGGGTTTCGGGGGAGAGCCTGATAGATACATTCCGGGTCACTGCACAGGTCCCCAGGTAGTGACGCCATCGAATGCGTAGCTGTGCTTGTCTGTCCTTTGGGACCTTGGAGGACCTTGAGGCCCTTTGTGTTCTGAGACCGGCAACCGGTCCACACACATTCTTTATTTCGTTAAGAAACATGAAGCGGGCGCCCTTCAAGACACTGACCCCGTAGGGCACAACAAAGACAAGTTTTATGCAAAGGAGGTGGCAATTGGTCTATTTTGAGATGAAATGCCTACACCATCACACATAGTTTTAGTTCCTGCTTATTCCTGCAGGTAACTTGCCATAGAGAGGAGGGGGATTAAAAACTACCCCCTCACGTGTCAAATATGCCAGGCACCGTGCCAGAAGCCGGGAGAAGGGCCAGCAGCTTCGTTAGCCCTGCCCGCCCCCCCACCCCCGCCGCCCCCTGCCTGGTGCAGCCAGGATGGGGACGGGTGAGGCCCGGGGAGGCCGGGGCTGCCGTGGGTGCCTCCTCGCCCAGGGGACACGAGCCGGGGGCTGAAATCCAAGGAGAAGCTGCCTTGGACCTGGGGCCAAATGGGGCTCATCCCTCCTCCTCCCAGAATGGAGTCTGGAGGGGCAGCCACTCCCCACGGGGTGCAGCCCTGCCAGCTGGAAAAAGAGGAGCCCCGAGAAGGGGCCAGAGGCCGGCCGCCGGTGCCCGCCGCCACCTCAGACCCATCCGCAGCCCAGCTCTCCCCGCTGTGGGGTGTCCCCCTCGTGAGGGCTGTGCTCAGGACGCGGCAGAGCCAGGAGCGGAGGGCCTGGAGGTCGTTCCTCTCCGCACCTCAAGCTCTCACCCACACAGTGAGCCGCACCTGCCTCCAAAGGGGCGGTGAGCGCGGTGGGAGTTCTCAGCCCCGGGGGTCAGGCCAGCACAGCGCACCGCCTCGGCGCTCGCTCCCCTGCGAGGCCCCGCCTGCCCCTCTCCAGACGCCCAGGCAGGGCTGCAGAGTCAAAGGGGCCGAATGTTTGGAAGGCTCTCAACATTTCACCTTTAATCTTCTTTCACATTTTTATTACTTTATTAGAAAATGATTATTTTGGTACTTTACTCATTTGGTTTTTTTTTTAATATAGGGAAGTATAATAACAAAACAAAGAGCGGACCCTAAGCGCCCCGCTCTGACCACTTCTCTGGGCTCCCCCCGCCCGGGCCCTGCCACGGGCCGCAGCCCGAAGCTGCTGATGGGGGCTCCTCTGCGCTGCCGGCGCTCGCCCGCCCGTTTTCAGCAAACCCCGGAGGGCCCTGCCGCTCCCTGTTCTGGAGCTCGTCAGAAGTCGGAGCGACAGGCGCTTGCCTACAAGGTTACTACCTGCACTTCTGTAACACCCCAGGGGTCCGGGTGCACTTGAACTCTGAACAGCCCTGCTCCAGGGCTCCAGAAGCAGCCGCACGTGTGAGACTTCTGTAGGCAGTGGTATGTCATCTTAAGTAAAAAATACTTTTTCCTGTCAAACATTCAAGTAAATTGAGACTTCAGAAGGCACCAGTGTGTCCCTGGGCATCAGGTCCCAGAGCAGAGACCCCAGGTGGAGAGCAGACACGTGGGTCAGGTTTAAAGTCTTCCAAGTCACAGGAAGACCTCCACAGCCCTGCCTCCCAGCTCCCTCGGAACACCCACAGCCCTCTCCAGCGGCACCCGGCCGGTTCCAGACCCGTGTCCCCTGGGCCTGGGGGGCTTATGCTTCTGGGCCCAGACCACAGGTCACCGGCTCTGAGAAGCACCCTCAACCTCCCCACGCCCAGCCGCTCCTCCGCTGTGCCCTGTCCACGGCGGACACCGCTGCCCACGCTGGTCTGCTGGCACGTCCTGGCCTGCACTTGGGGTCCCAGGCTGGTTATTCCCAGGACCGTCTTCCACCTGCAAAGATGCCCTGGCTCGTCTGACAAAAGACGTGGCCACCCTACGAGGGAGCGCGGGCAGCAAGCCCGTCCCTTGCACGCCCCCAACCGCCCCTCAGCGCACCCCACAAGCAGCACCTCCACAGCGCCGTGCACACCCCGGCCCATGCCTGCATGACCATGGGGCCCAGGCGCCCCCGGCTTGTCATGGGACGCCTCCCAGCTCTCCTCCTTGCTCAGTCCCCATGGTCAGCGTCCCCCGTAGCAGCTGGGGAGCCTCTTCCTACGTGGTCAGAACCCCCGTCGCTCAACCAGGTAACAGCTCCTTCTGACCCGTCGGTTCCCACTAGTCCTGCCACCTGGGTGCCTGCTCATCCCACCTGTCTGGAACCCCTCCCTGGATGGCCCTGTGCACCCCACATGCCTCTCAAGTGCCACTGTCCAAGGTGTCACCTGACCACCCTGTGCAATCAGCAGCACCCTTTCTGTTTTTCCTACAGGACTTACTGATGCCATAACATGTAACCTTGCCTCCTGCCTTACCAGGGCCAGGGTCGGCTCTAAGCCTGCGAACGGCAGACCGACTTGTCGGAGCTCCGCGCGGGTGCACTGCTGCGGCTGCACACCTGGGGGCGCTCGTGGGGAGTGCAGGATGAGCGCGCGCGCAGGACTATCTTAAACAGCTCGGCCACCTCTCCTGGAAGCCCCTGGTGTGCAGTGGGGTGGAACGGCACATGGTCGCAGGACTCTGTGACCGCGTGGATTACAGCTTCCTGAGGGCGGGGCCGGGCCAGATTCTCCCATGAGGTCCCTTCCTGCTCTGCCCCTCCCCCCCCCAGTCCCGGTCCCCACACCCCCACCTGCCTGGGGCTCCACAGGCTTTGAACTTTCCTCAATAAGCCCCTGACCTCCAGGTCACAATGACAGCCAATGAGAAACTTCCATTTTGAAAGAAATTTATTCATCTCACCTTTTCCTGGCCAAGTCAATGGCTTTGGTCATTTGTACAAAGATTCTAAAAACTGGCTTTCGGCATCTGTTCTTCCAGGCAAATGAACTTTATCGTAACAAGCTTCGAGCTCTGCTGGCCTGGGATGGGAGCCAGCTAAGCCTGGAAGTCGCCTCCCGCTGCCAGTCCGGGGCTCTGTGGCCGCCGGCCCGTGCTTTCCTCCCCAATCCCCCCGCCCCCCGCCCCGAGGTTATGTGCATTTCGGCAGAGAAGCCCCTAAAACACGTGACTATTATATAAAAGTCAGCAAGTACATGTAGTAACTAGAATACATCCCCTATCCTAGGTTACTCACCAGACAGGTTACATGATGTGCACCAATTAACATGACACAGAAAAATTACATTTCTGAAAAAAAGAAAAAAAAAATAACCACAGCTTTTTTCCTCTGATCTGACAGAGTGCACTGTCCCTAAATTCATTCACCACCATCCTCCGCGCCGGACTGTCCTCTGGGCCGTCCCAGTCGGATCCAAAGAGGCCTCCACACCCTCCCCTGCGGGATGGGTTCTTGCTTCAGCAGCTGCAGCCAAGGTGCGTCTTGTCTCTTGCAGAACTCTGACCTCGGGGGGCCCAAATTCCAGGAAGCATAAAAAAATAGCAAAGCACAAGGTATACTTGCAAACTTTAAAAATACAAGAGCCACAGTAACAAATATGACCACACAGCAGCTTACATCTAGGTCCTGTTTTTTCCTTCTCTTTGTTTATGTAAGAGCATTTAATAAAAAGTAAAATGCATCTAAACTGTCTTTTCCAAGCTGAATACACCTAACAATCATAATCCACATATGACAATATAATACTGAATTCATCTGCCAGAATGGTACTGGAGATGGCGCGTTTACTATGATGAAAACGCGGACAGAAAAACAGGAGAGAGAGACAGACTCGTGGTTTCAGCCTCTCCAAGCGGTCAGTCCTCCTTACCAGCCGCGCAGAGCCCGTCAGCGGATAACCTGGAGAACAAGCGGGGAAACCCATCAGCATAAAAGAACACAACGTAAACACACACCCTCCGCCGTGCACAAAGCTGCCCCCTGCCACAGGGTCATCCTGAAACGCTGCAATTTCACCGAAACATTTACCAGTTTCCAGCCTGACTTCAGTTTCACAATTCTCCCACGCGTCTCCTCTTCTTTTGCCCTGTGGCCTATGTTTCCACCTTAGTGGCTGGGCTGGTCCCCATTCTGCAAATAGTTCCTCTAAGCGTTATGTTTCACAACTGCATACCAATCTACTTCCTTCTCATCACTAACGTTAAGAAAGTAAAATCGTATCTTAAGCGAAAGTCGCAGCAGTCTCCTCGACCTCCGCCGGCCTCCGCGGCCCCACACCGCCTCCCACCGCCCAGCAGCGATGCACTTCGGGGCAGCGCATTAAATCCCCCTCCAGCAAGCCGGTCGCCGCCGGCCCGAGACGCACCTGTCCCCGCATCCTTCAGTAACACTCGTAGCTGTCTATCAGCTGGTGGAGCTCCACGATCCGCTTCCCCATCAGCGCGGCCTCCACCGCCTTTTTCTCCACCTTCTCACACAGCTTCATCACCCGCTCCTCCGCCTCGGCGCCCGGGCTGCGGGCGGGGTCCAGGGCGCTCTCCTCCGAGGCCTCCACCTCGCTCTTGATTTCGTCCAGCAGGCTCTCGATCTCCAGCAGCTTCCGGCGGGCTCTCAGGTGCGCGCGCACGTGCTCGCGCTCGAGGGCGGTGACGTCCCGGCGGACAGCGTGCAGTGCGGGGCTGAGGCACCTCTCCCAGTCCTGCTCGGGCTCCCGCTCCTCGTCCGCGTCCACGGGCCGCATCGCGCCGCCCGCTGCCGCCCCCCGCCGCCCCTCGTCGCCCCGCGGCCCCCGCAGCCCGGTCACCGCGCCCGAGAGGCCGGCCGGCCGACAGCGAGCGCCGGGCGCGGGGCTGAGCTCGGTGGAACCGCCACTGTGACGAGCAACAGGTTCTTTGAACTTTCGCAGCCGAGGCGGCGTCCAAAATGGACTCCCAGCCGTCTGCCGGAGCTCTGCTGGCGTGCGGCCCTTTTACGACGCGTTGGAGCTCCTTTACGGTCACGCAGCTGGTGGGAACTGGCTGACACGCGCTCGCACGTGCACGCTCCCGTCGCCCTCCAGCGCTCTAGCGCCCGAAGTCTTCTGCCCGGATTCCGTGTCTAGCCCGTCGCCCTCTCTGCACCAGTGTAGTAAAGTAGCTTACTCTAGCGCTTACTGTGTTACGCTTTAAGTCCTTACCGTTCTGAGCCATAAACTAGCAAGTGAAGTTGGTACTGTTAGAATGTTTGCACACCCCGAGCAAGTAGGTGACTTACCCGGTGTGTGCATTTCAGCCTCGACACGGTTGTCGGGCAGTTGCTTTTCCCGGAAGCCAGCTGAGAACTGCGATACGACAGTGCTGATGCCAATGGCCTTGTTCTCCTTACAGCCCTACCCAAACTCCGCCCCTGCCTTTGTCTTGGGTTTTGGTGTTGTATGCGTCTTGCTTTACGGAATTAGTGTAGGTGTAATTCAGCACTGTTCTCCCGCCCCCAATCTGGCACCGAGTATGCCCTCCGAGAATAATACTGAAAGAATTCATTCTTCATTATGCTGTATAAGCACCTCTATGAGACTACAAGCCCTCGGGGCAAGTACTTGGTCATCTATTTCCCTACAGCCATCACGCGTGGCACACAGTAGGCGCTCAAAAAATGTTGCATTGACATTATTTCCCAACAGATATATGTATATGCAATTACTACTGTATGTTGTCATTGCGAGATGGATGATGTTTCTAGGTTGTTTAGTCTTTGTCCAGCTAGCAGGTAATACTGGGGAGACCCTCTTCATTGGTTGGCCAGGGGTGACTCAGCTTCTGTAGGCCACTCTCTGATCGCTGCCCATGGTCCCCTCCATATTCAAAGCCAGCAACAGCTCGTCAAATCATTCTCAACCTCTGAATGTCTCTGACACCCCTTGTGCTCCTAGCCAAAGAAAACTGCTTTCAAGGGGCTCTCATGAATGGATTAGGTGTACCTGAATAATCTCCCTTTTGCGATATAATGGAATATAATCACAGGAGTAACCCCCGGGAGCAAAGATCACAGGGGGGCATCACAGGATCCCAGGAATGCTCAGGGCATGGTCTCACGGCAGCTGGATATGACAAAAGTAATGGTCGTTAAGTCTAGAGAGCTAAACATCCCTCACAAGGACTGGTGTTGCTTGCTTTGGTACATGAGTGGATGGAATAAAATACATGGCAAATCCACACAATTTTTGAGGCAGCCATATTAGCAAAAACGCTGCCCACCTGGACGAAGAGAGACTAAGACTGTTCAAAATGCAAAAAGACTTCTAGACTCCCGATTTTCTACCAGCAGAAAGTAGGCTCTGCGGCCAAAAACTGGCATATTTTTCAAAGCTCTCTTCCAACGTGGCCAAGGAGTGAGATGGGTAAGGAAGAACGCACGGGAGAGCCCAGACGCTCCGACGGAGAGCAACAGGCAAGGACAGCCCCCGAACTAAGCGTGGGTCTCACGTCGTCAAAGGGCTACGTAAAAGAAGAGCAGGAATATGTGACAGAGACTGTGTTTGGCCCACAAAGTCTAAAAAATATATATATACTATCTTTATAGGAAAAGTTTGCCAATCCCTGCCCTAGTGAACCGCTTCTAGGTTTCAGAACCAAAGCCTTATCAAGGAATTTTTCTTCTGTTTAAAGTAGATAAACATGGCAACATGTGCCCCACAGAATGTCAAAATTGTTACAATTCCGTGATTTCCGCGTTGCTCCTTCCCTTACAAATGGGCGTTACCTTGTCCCGCTCCTACCATTGTATATTGGGTTTGTGTGGGTATTATAGATTGCATGTTGTGTCCCCCCCAAATTGTATGTGGAAACTCTAACCCCCAATTAGAGATTGGGTCTTCGGGAGGCAATTGGGTCATGAGGGAGGAGCCCCCATGATAGGCTCCTTAGGAGAAGAGACCCCGGAGCGCTAGCTAGCTCACTCTCCGCTGTGTGAGGAGACAGTAGGAAGGCAGGCGTCTGCAGGCCAGGAAGGGCGCTCTCACCAGATGCCAAGCTTGTAAGTATCTTGACCTTGGACTTCCTAGCCTCCAGAACTATGAGAAATAAATGTTTGCTGTTTTAAGCCACGCAGTCTGTGCTGTTTGTCACAGCGGCTTGAACTGACGAAGACAGTGGGCAATAACTTGTGTTTTTAAAAGTTCAAAGGCCTCTGGGCCATGAAAATGCATATTTAAACCTGATGGGGTCACAAGATCCTGGATTTCCAGCCTGATGACCTAACTGGAAGAAACTTTGCGGGTATTTGGATAGGGAAGTGGAAAGGGAATTTTACATGTGTAACTGGGGGCCAAGGGCGCAGATCGTGGTGGGTTGTATTACGCAGTCTCAGTTCTCCACCCCTTCCTGCGCCCATGCCCTTTGCCTTGCATCTCGGCCATTGAGACATCAGCAGACATAAAACAGGCACACACTCGAAGCATACTAACATGGCCGGGCCCTCTTTATTCTCGTCTCTGCCTCGGCCATGAGAAGACTAAGCTGGTTGTCTCACACATCTAAGGAGGAAGAGGAGAGGAACATTGGACCAAGCCATCCTAGACAGACTCAGCCTGGATCAGCCAGCCCGCAGGCCCACCACTGAGTCCGTCTAGATCACCTAACTCCTAGCCAACCTGCAGGCACTTGAGAAATGTTTATTGTTGTTACTGGATTTGGAGGGGCTTGTGAAGCAAAAGCCGACTGGTGCACTTACTGTGAAGCCTTTTGAGGTGAGATTATAATCCCAAACAAAATGCCAAACTCTCCTTTACTCCGTCCACATTTGTATTTGGTTCAGTCTCAGGTGGAGGAATCTCAACAAGATGCCCTAATGCTCTGGGGTTTTTTCTTTAGAAACTTCAGACTGGAGTATCTGATGGAAGTGGTATTCCCCCCTTTTGCACCTGTAAAACTCCTCTATCTCATTTTCACCCCTCCTGCACCCTGAACCTGTGTCCTACTTGCATGGATGCTGCAGCACCAGACTCACAAATTTTAAAAAAACAATCAACCATCACTACAGCCACTTTTAATATTATCACCCCATGAGAAAATAATGTTCTCAGAACCTTGTACATTTTTTATAAGCAACATCACATTGCTATTACCATGAGACTCTGAGGAAGCAGGAGATGGACAGAGACAACAGGAGAGAAAGGAAAAAAGTCTTGATTCCAGCTTCCCCCAGTGCCTTTTGGTTCCCACTAATCATCTGTAATTTACAATCTGTGAAATAAAACCCACTTGGGAGAAGCTTTCCATCAAGTGATTAATTACAGAGCTGGGAGCTGGTTCAACATAACCAACAGTGTAAAGACTTAAAAGGAGGAATTTATTTATATCAGAATTAAGTGTGCATTTTAAGCCAGTAAGTTTTCAAGTGACTTTTTTTACTTAGCAACAGATAACTGAAAGAGATACCGGTAGCGGAAAATGGGGTGCTGCTGGAACAATCGGAAATGTGGGAGTGACTTTGGGGCTGAGCAGTGGACAGAAGTTGGGAATACAGGGGAGAGAGAAAAGGCCTGGTGGCTTGAGAAGTCTTTCTGTGAAGGCTTAAAGAAAAGTGAGGAATCTGGAGGAAAGAGATCCTTGTCACACAGCAGCAGAGAATTTGGCAACACTATGACTGGCAGAAAAATGGAAAAGAGAACAAGTGGCCATTGAACTGGGTGAGTGAGCTAAGGACATTTGAAGGCTGTGCTGAAGGTGTTGCCTGGCTTCTTCTAGTTGCTTAGAAGTAAAGTGTAAGAGTGGAGAAAGAAGCTAAAGAAACAGCTGTAAAATATAAACAAAAAATAAAATGCAATAAACAAACAAGCCAGGACTTGCTGGGTGTGCCAACAAAACTGTTCCTCCTCGCCGGCCACGCTAGTCGGCAAAGGATGCCAACAAGAACAGGGCCTCTGGGCAGAGACCACGCCCAGGTCGCCGTCAGGAAAACATGCTCTGAGGACGCCTGGTGCTGCCTCAGGAGAGCCTTTCAAACCCACAAAAGGTCTTAAAGGATTTGAAAGGCCTGCCTCGTAGGTCGTTTCTTTTGAACAGGGTCTCTGACCGTCTAAAGGGCGTTGCCCCTGCACATGTCACTGGAGGCCAAAGTAGAGAAGGGCTTATTTCAGTGGGTCTTGTGGGTGTGGTTTTTGCAAGTAAATCTATTAATCCATTAAGAATAAATGAACAAGAAAGTCACAACATTTTTAAAGGAATTTCATCATTTTGCGCTAAAGGAGACAGAGACGATACCGAATGAAAAGGGAATTTTGGAAATCGAAATATCTATAGGCAAGAAGCAGACTGAAGAAACTACTCAGCTGCAATCCCTAGCTGTATCTTATGAGGGGGAAAAAGATGATCGAAAGGTCAGAACTGAGAGCCCGGGGGTGGAGCCAGAGTCACAGAGGTTGTTCCCAAGTAGCAAGAGTGAGCCATCACTGAAGAGCCGGAAACGTGGTGGCACAGCGGGATTTCAGAATTGCTGCGGACCAGAGATTCTCTAGGCCTCCTGTTTTCCCCTCTGAAAACACCCACTGCCCGTTTAGCCTTCGCTCCACATTCCACCCCCCTTCATCGCCCGGCCACCACTAGTCTGCCTTTTGTCTATGGATTTTTCTAATCTGTATTGGTTTTCCTAAAGCTGCCACAACAGAATACCACAAATGGGCAGTTTAAACACCAGAAATTCATTTTCTCGCCGGTCTGGAGCCTGGAAGTCCAGGATCGAGGTGCTGGCAGGTCTGATTTCTCCAAGGCCTTTTCCCCTTTTGCTGGCAGACGGCTGCCTTCCCGCTGCGTCCTCGCATGCCCTTTCTTCTGTGCAGGAGCGTCCCTGGTACCCCTTACTCTTCTTGTAAGGA